AACACCTCGAACGTATCCATAAATACCCTGTAGTCCACACGGCGAAACTTAGGAACAACAAATTATATATGTGGCGAACAGATTTGAATCTTTCGCTTTGGCGTTCTTTGCATTAGAACTCTCCGAAAATCAAAAAGGTCTACAAGGGAAGATGTACAATGAACCAAGATGAAGCTTTTAAACACCTACGAAAATCTTTGATTCTCTCACATGGTTAAACCTTAACCCGAAATTTTACTGCATCTCAGGTCAAACACCACTGTGGGCTGTCACGCTGATGAGTAGTTAAGCCATCTGATTCAAACGAGTAACAACACAGATTTTAATCCTCTGTTAGCTTGGGTACTCGGTCTAAGCTCATTTGTTAAGTATGTGATTTTGCTCACTCGTGACCGAACACACTGAGCTGGTGCACACATGTTCTTTGTGAAGCTAAGGGCTACCGGGATCTCGCTTTCAACAATGCAATACAGCTAATTTGATCAAAGTCACATGACCTGCCGTGCCGGTTCGAATACGTAATGCATTTGATGAATTACACTCTAGCGGGTAAAGAGTAAAAACGATGCTAAATAGATCTCAGAGGAAAACAAAACACTGGGTATTTAGTGGGCTCTCAGTGACATCAAGTCCTAATTGGGTTAGTGTAGATTCCTAAAAGTGCAAAAGTTCGATTGCTGTTTGATGAGATGATGCTTCGCAAATTTTACTTGGGATGCTGCGTGCAGATGATATATGACAGGAACTTCCAGCGCGAGGAGGAGAAATAAAGAGGACCATTTTTTAGAGGATGATAATGAACTACGTTTTCAGAAATTTCTACAAACAGATTTTCAAATACATTTATATAATGTTTGACAGCACCGATAAAACCACCCAAGTAAGATGGAAATAACATCTGCCCTCAGTTTAGTTACGAATGTGGCGCGAAATCGTGAAGTAGAGAGGCAGAAGTTCCTGAGCGAGAGCACCTTTGGGCTTATGAGCTTGTTCAATCTGTGAGAGATCCGCGTTTTCTGTACTTCACATGTCAGAATCCTATCTTATTGGACCAGTTACTGTGTCAGAGTTGTTCTCCTAAGGTTGAAGAACTCTGAGATCAGGTGAAATCATCGTCAGTGGTTTGACGGCACCAGTTTCAGTGTTGTAAAAAGCATAAGAAATTTAGACGGGATTTGTTTTGTATGGCAAAACCCTATTGTTTTATGTAAACGTGCTTTGAAAAAGTCTTCGATAGTTAACCTCAAATATTGATGACAACCTTTCGGAGTGCCGCAGTACATTGGCTCACCACACAGAGCCACTAAAGGATTACCTCCTTCAGTTAGGTGTCGTAAGTTACGCTAAACAGTGGTAGGTCCTACAGCAGGTGAAGCCGCAAGAGTTTCACACTTGGAGCGACAAATTAGATGACCGAAAAATAGTGTTATGTCCAGAAAGTGTTTGATCTTCTTTTGCTATCTACCTGTATTCTTTATCATGACATTTCTGGGATTTACTCAAAATGTAATCTGAAATATTCCGACAGGCATCTTAAGTCCAGCCGATGTGAAATTACGCTGGTTTATATGGACCCTCTACAATTTTAATATTATATCGAGAGATCCTTTTTGGCACAGACTGACAAAGAATGTCTAACGTTTACGCGCAAGTAGCATCGGTTGTGCGAAAAAGTTGACTCTGTGAACTTCCTGCCAATCAAACATCCTTTTGGACTCTACGATCAGATTCAGCGTCAGCATAGTTGATTACGCAGGATTGAATCAACCAGGTGAGGTCCCACTACATGAGAGTGCTTCTGTTTTTGTCACGAATCTCAGTTGATTGTTTTCGGGTGGCAGTCCAGCAGCACACATGTGTACGACGATGCGTCAGCTTCAGATTTGTCCATGTAAACAACGTACATTCTCAGCAATCTTGTTTAGACAGTGGGGGAAGGGGGCATAATCAAGCTCCTAACGCAATATTCCGACTGAGTGACAGTTGTATTTGTGTGGCCAGATAACGTTGTTTGTTTGAGATACCTAGCCCTACATGCGGTCCATTGTTTTTGAATTCTCGTTCGGACGTTCCGACAAACAGCTATTCATCGCAAGATATGCAATTCACGTAGACATGAAGTGGTGTGACGGGTTGCAAGCTACTGTTTGCAGTTAGAAACACCGTCTGACAAATAACCATCATAAAAAGATGCAACCGGTGTCATGGATTGTCTACTTGCGGCAGCTAGTAGCTGAAGCTTCATAAAGGCATCAAAGCGAAACCAGTTTGGAACGGTTGCGAAACTACAGGGGGTCCATTTTGCTTATTTTGTTTGTAGGATGAATAGGCAAGGTTTTTGGGCTTTGTAATCACGAGACTTATTTCGAGGTCCATGTGGTAGTCTGGAGACACTTTACCGGCAGCGAGTGGCAGGCCACCACATCTAAGGAAGCTGACAAGAAAGCTGACAAGAATATCGCCCGTGGATAGCAGCTTGATAATGCTCGATGTGTATCAGAGAGTAAGAGTTCAGGTACTGTTTGGAAATTTATCGCTACAGGTCTGACACTCGTTTCGGTTGCCCCTTGTGTGGGCTTGACAGTTAGTCAGCAGTAACAGTTAATCAGCTTCAGTTTTTCTCGACGATTAGTATGTGCTCTAAGTATTTATCATTGCAAAAGTTTTGCAACATCCAACTGTGTAACACCTGTCTGGATTCTATTAAACGGTTGTTACTTAGTGAGTATCTTCAGGCCTGTTCAACTATGGTTCGCTGGGATTGCTTTCCACAACACCCAAGAAACCATCACAGGGTGTTTGAGAACAAGGTTGAGGGGCTTCTCCTATAGACCGTGAGTAGTTTCGGTAGCGCTGGTTTCCACCATCACGAGATCAGTCCCATCTTGAGTACGTTCTGTCTGGTAAAGGAGTCAGATTTGATGTGTCATTTGAAAACAAATTCTGTCTTCCATATGTTTAAGGGTCAAGGTCATTTAATGACCTTGACTAGACAGCATTACCGGCTACCGTTTATCAAAAAATGTAAATTTTGGCACGTAATGTGATGGGAATTTTTGTCGGGTATGAACTACCACTTTCATTCTAACTCACTGTTTCCTCATAGTAGTAAGTTTCAAAATTGAACTCTGTCTACTGATTGAGAGATTCGGTTCGTTCAAGTTTTACCGGGTGGGGAAAAGTGAAAAGTAACAGAAAAAGAATCTCCTCGAATTCGTTATTTATTTAAAGTCTTGAATTTTTGGCAACTGTAGGTGTTAGCTGTTGAATAGAGCAACTGATCATGGATGTATACGATTTTCTGTGCTCCAGTGCCCCGTTTTTGGATAAAGCTGTTTTCCCTTGTTTTGCCTACTTGCTGCTTTTTCAATTTAAATACCTGAGGCCGCATTCCAGCGCCTAACAAAAGCTTATTTATTCGAATAGGGTATGGGCAAAATACTTGTTTAGTGTCTTTTTCGCACACGGTTTTGAAGCTCTGCTATTCCGATCACTGATTCCTTACGAGCAAAAGGTAAACGACGAACTGCGTAGAATGTCTTTTTACACCATGGATGTTTGGAGGCAGAGTTACTCACGAAAAAGGATTATAAACAGTGAGCGGAATATTATGAAGGGCTGAAGGAACTCAGTAAATCCGAAATCCACATGGACGGGTGCTTGACTCTGATCTGGGGTGATTCAATTTCAGTGGCGGACATTCCGGATTGAGTTTTGGCCTTGTGTGACATCAGCAACTTGTACAAACGTCCCGCAGTATAAAAGAAGTGTTTCGGACAAATTATCTGACCGCTAATCCTTAGCCGAACTATGTTCTGAGAAAGCTACGGCGACCTACAGTCGCAGTGTCATTAAACGATCGAAATCCTTCTGGTTACCGATAATCGTAAGCTACCCTGTGCTGAACCTCACGAGAATTACAGATAAATATTCATTTGCAGAGTAAGACGGTGTTAACAAGGCGATCTAGTGCCATGTAAAGGAAAACCCTTTGATATTTGCTTACCGTTCCAGATCACACGACAGGGGTTCTTTGTGTGATGCTTTTAATAACAAGAGACAGATATGTCCAGAATTCAGTTAAGTCGTCCGTCAAGACCAACTCAACCGTCGAGCGTTTGTGTTACCATACAGTTTAATTTTTAAGTGGAAAACAAGATGGGGATCTTCTATCAGTTCTCATAAATGAAGTCATAATACCAAAGGGATTTACTGAAACCGTAGTGTGGGGCTGAATTCAAAATTCTAGAGGCTACATAAACACTCTCCTTCAAACCGAGATTGATGTGAAACTGAACAATACACCTCTCACAAAACCCCCACATGCTTCAACAAAAGTTGTCCAGCCGGTTTCAAGCGTCTGTGGCGCTACCTGACTGGGAAGTCCTGACAAGCGGGCCAATCGATCGTCACAACCAGGACAGTTAATGGGTCGCCGTATCGGTGATGTGTCGGGCATACTAATCACATCGCTCAAGTGAGAACACGTTCACTCGTTCAGTCGCGAGAATTCACATGCGTCCAATGTGCGCTGGTGGAATAGTGGTAACACGTTCGCCTCGCATGTCAGATGTCCGTAGTTCAAACCCCGGCACGGCCATTGGATATGCACTACTAATTCGCTCTAACAAGAGCGAAAGTCGAGTCCAGTGCCTCCCCCTTTGGTGTGGATTCACACGAATAATTGCGCCAGGACAGGAGGACCACTGTTTAAAACAAAAGTGATGTGAAACTGAACACCTATCATATGTCTTGCATGTTCACTGTACCATGGTAGACACTTGATTCTCAGCCGCACTGACCAGTTCAGTTAGTCCTCCTTCAGACTGTCAGCATTTTGGCTTGAGTATACTATACGACATATCTTAACTCTATGGTGGACTGTTAGAGTATGGATACATGCAAACCTGTGAAGCACCGATAAATTTTGTCCATGCTAGAGAGCACTACTTCCAAATAGCACCTATTCACATGAAACACGCCGTATAGCCAACAAGGGAGAAAACTTGAGATAAAAATGCATCATTGCACTAGATCAAATTGCATAAACACGTTATGAAAGCTAACATTGCTAGTCTTAGGCCATGTTGTAAAATGCACAGTGAGTACTAAAGTCCCACCGTTTGAAGTATGGTCTCAAAGTGAGTGTACTGGAAAAGAAACAGGTTACACCAAGCAAGCTGCCATTATTTACAAGTTATCTTTGTAGTCAAAGAACAGGAGGAAAGCGAGTTTTGGAAGCTTCAGAAGAGTTATACATGAATTATATCTACACGATCACCAACGCACAAAAGTCCAGTTTGGTAGGCTGGACCAACCGCTCCTCATTTAGTTTGTATAGACGGACGAGACAAGCTGACAAAGCGAGGCACCTAAACAAGCGTCAGGAACGGTTCCCTGTGCCAGTACGGCAATCCAAAAAATTGCACTGGTAAGAACAAACAGAACGGTGATTGCCGATCTGATGGCATTTACGCAACAATTGGACGGTAAGGTTGGGGGAACTGAGCTAGATACGGAAGTGTAGGGCGGAGCAGGTGAACCCGTACATTGATGTGGTTGAGTGGTCGAGAAAGGACAGGAACACAGTTGACATTCGGCCAGATCCACACCGATTCGTCCCACACCATTGCTGCGGCGACCGAACGGTCCGTTGCGCCAACGAAAGCCATGGAATGTATCGTTTAGTGGACCGTTCCCAGGGTCTGAATTTCCAGAACATATGAAATTTTCTGCATATGTATCCTAAAATAACAGGATTAACAGATAGAAGCTGAGTTGAAAAAGTGATAGATGAAATAATTAGTGCTGAAACGCATAGAATCCTGTCACTTCCAACTGCTTTCCTTTTGAACTTAAAACCTTAGTGAAATAGCGATGAGTAAAATACGACAGAGTTTATGCCAAAGACTATGTATTAGTGTATTCCACTTATGAAAAGCTTCGGAGTAACACAGGGTCTTTTATGAGAAATAAAGTAGAAAAATGCTGAATAGCAATTATATTATGCACTTCTGGATTTCTTCAGTGTAGAAATAATATCAGTTACCTTTATTCCTGTCGAAAAAATGCTCGTCATAATCGTTTTCTCGCTGTCGAAGCACATTGAGCACCAAACAAATATCGAATGCAAAGCACCTTAATCATTCGCAAGTTATCCAGAGATGGCTCAAGTGGTTAGAGGGGGAATTTACTGACCGGAAGGTTCGTAACCTGGCAGTATCTTAACCCTCGTGCTTCCTTCAGGTGTCGTGGCAGCCACAAACGGGAAGTGTGTTACAGCTGAGCGATTTTTTCATCCAACTCCATTTTACCGGGTTCCTATTGGACTTCAATCACCCAAATGTAAACATAAAGTCTGTTGAGGTGTGGGCACAACGTTGGGTCCTAGCTGCAAGAGTTTGGGTTGAAAACAGCATCAATCTAAAGGTCTAATGGGCTAGTCATTTTGCATGGCTGAGACACCGAGTTGCATTTTGGGTGTCGAAAATTTGCCCGTGTGACATTTCTCAGATTACCACGAGGATTCCTTCCTTCATCAAGATAAGGCAGGATCATCATATTTTGTTACAGTATCCGCTCAATTTACTTGAACCTTTCCGGACAAATTCATTTAAAAAAATTGTTCAAAATCAACGCGGGCCTCCGTGATGTAAGGCTTTGTAGGAGTCAGATGCCAGAATGTTCATTTAGACAGGCTGTAATTTCAAGCGATTTTTAAACCTCCTCAGTGAAGGTGTTCTTTCTGATCTTCAGTAAACTCTGCTGGACATACCAAAGTGGACCCCACTCCATCGCGCCAACCTAGGCTATTCGTTATACGCCTTCACTACTCACAAACGAAACACGTACAATTTTTTGGTGCAGCTCCATCAACGACGTTTATGGTTGGGATGGATCGCCTGACAAGTAGGACACACTAGCCCTTCAAGGTCGTACGCATTTCCTTTCCATGCAAGGATAGCTCGAGAGAAATGCGCTTCCTAAACATGCATATGCCTATTTCGGTCAGTCCACTTGATTCCAATGCGCAATCAAGCTCCCTTGCTTGCTGTCCAAAGATTCGTTTTGTCAGGCTTTTAGTCGGTCTGTGGAAATAGCTAACCAGGCATGAAGGCCAGGGTGAACCTGCAGTGACGAGCCACTGACTTGGGGAAAACAGGGCAGTGAGGCGCGGATATGTCGAACAGTTTAACTGTAAAGAAGGTTAGCTGTTGAAAGAAATACGTATGTTTTGATCAACGGAGGAGCTCAGCATTTAGAAAGGGAAAGTAGAACACGAAACTTTGAGTGCTCAGCGCAGCTTAAATAGCCAGAGTTTTTCACGGTAGCTGGCATGGCCACTAACCACAAAGTCATATAAGAATAACACAGGAAGTCGCCATGTGCTTTGCAATAAGCTGATCTGTTTACATGCTGCAAACAACGTTGGGTAGCACATTGGGAACCACAATAGTGACTTGTGCTTCGATGCTGGTTTGAAGCAACGGGGATATATCAATTTTGCTTGCTCTGATTACCATAAATTAAAGTTATGTTGTCTGATTTTCCATGAAAACACAACAGGCTCTTAGTGGGGTGATTCAGCGGATTAACTAGGCGTTCAGGCAAAAGCGCCGCTTATTTCCTTAGGTTGCATATCTGAACTTATGGCAAATATTCCAGGTGCATGGTTCACTCCACTGCTAGACTTAATCAATTATTGCATAGGCCAAATGGTTGCCGCTCAGTTCTAGGTGGGAGGTAGTCATAGAGAAGCCGCAAACCTTGGGAAAGCAGTTTTTTCGGCAGTAAAGCTACCTGGAGATCTCAGATATTCAACGTCGCATTGTATCAAAGGCTTTGAAGATTAGTACTGCAGATGCCTGTACTTCGATTCATGTAATTCTGATCCAAAGTACTGCTGTGAGGCGGTGTCACTTGATAGATTGAGGTCAGATGTCACAATAGGAAGGGTCATCGTAAGCTAGATTAGAAGGAGTGATCAGACCGTGCAAAGGGTCTGCACCATGGACCGCAGTTTAACAAGGTACCAGTTGGCCTTCAGTGAAACAACTGAGGGCAATATATAGTTTTTACAGTTCGTTAATTTTTCTCACTTCCTGACGATTATGAACCCGACCTAAATCTGCCACCTTGACGTGGAAAGGGTCTGATGGACCGCAGTTTAACAAGGTACAAGTTGGCCTTCAGTGAAACAACTGAGGGCAATATATAGTTTTTACAGTTCGTTAATTAATTTCACTTCCTGACGATTATGAACCCGACCTAAATCTCCCACCTTGACGTGGTGGTCTGGCTTCAGTGCTGCAATGATCTCGCGGGCTACACTGGCTGGAACTTCGTTCCACAAGGTGCAACCATGCCAGGAAGGCCAAAGGGGAGCAGCCA